GCAGTTTATGAATGGGGAGAAGCCTCCATATTGAGTGCTACTCCCCATTCAGAAATTCATGAATGAACAGGCTGTGATGTAAATCACAGCCTATTCATTCATAACTGGGGACACCTAGTACTATGTAAGTTATTCACAAAGCTGCCGAAGGATCTAGCCATAGCTTCGGCTGATCCTTCGGCCCCAGGACCCCTTCGGTTGAGTAGAACCGAAGGGCTGCTGAACGGGCTATTCACTTGAGCCCGTACAGCTCCCGAAGGTGGCCGAGCTGGTCAGTTGAGCCAAAGGCATATGCTTCCGCTCGACTGAGCCAAGGTGAAAGCCGAAGCTGGAACAGCCGGCCGACAACCTGCTACTGACAGCTTGGCGGAGCCAGCCGTCATCTCACGGTTGGCTCTGGCCACTTGCATGCAGAGACAGATCAGCGTCCCCTAGTTAGCAGCTAACCACGGACGCTGATGTGCCTGAAGTGAGTAGCCGAACGGCGTTTGGCTCACTTTGGGTTGGTTATTCACACGGCTGCCTTCGACAGCTTTGTGAATAACCCCCTATGTGTCCCCAGTTATTTACAAACACTGGAGTGATCACGCGATCACTCCGGTGTTTGTGCTGCACGGAGGATCGGTAAATATCAATGATACTTATCGATCCTCCGTACGGCCACGCACAGAGCCGCTGTCATCCGGAAACTGACATGATGACAGCGGCTCCGTTCTCCTCACCGCTCAGCCATCCTGAAACTTGTGGCTTCTCCCTGCCAGCCGACGCTTGCTCCTCCGCCCCACCCCCCCACCCTGGATATTTTTTTTAATCCCCGTTGCCACAGCCCCTACAAGCGGGGGACAGCAGCGGGGATCCATGGAGTCACAGATCCCTGCCTGGAGCGGCTCCAGGCAGGGATGAGAGGCTCCAGATGCCGGCAACTTTTCCCATTGATTTGATTTTCAACTGCTGCGTTGCTAGCGTTTGTAAAAGACCCCCCAAACCATATATTTTCTGAAAGCGCAGGCCCGGTAGAATAAAAAGCTGGTGATACTAAATTTGTAGGCCCTGCGATAATTGCGCAAATGTTTCTCAAATTAATATTAAACCGAAAAAATACACAATTCAATTGATAAAACACACTAAAATCAGTATCAGCGCACAAAAAATTATTTTCTGACTAAATCTAAAAGATAAAACTGTATTGAGTTAATAAATAACAAATATTAGCAAATTTGAAATTGCGCCTTTTTGCAAAAAGGTAAAAAAATTACGGTACGCAAAACTGTAAATAAGCGACTTATGTTAAATTGTTTTTACCCTGTGTTGGTGTTTGTGCTGTGATAAAATGATGCAGGCGTATATTTATTGCAACACAAAGATGTCAATGCGTCACAAAGCTTTGCCATGCGCTGCCACAGTTAATTTACATTTTTTTAAAAGAAAAAAAATACATTAAAAAATGCACTGCGATTCGTTCTAACAACGCACTGCAGCGCATGTGCATGGCGTACACCTCTATGTGTATGTTATGTGGGGATGACAGCGGCTCCGATCGGAACACTGCTCGGCCATCCTGAATTGCGGCCGCTTGGTCCCACCGCAGCAGCGGGGATCCATGGAGTCTCTCATCCCTCCCGGGGGGAGAGGGGGGGCGCCCAGTATTTTTGATGATAGCAGTCATCAGCGGCTTGTGAGCCGCTGATGACAGCTATTAATTTGAAGGGGACAGTCCGGGGAACAGTTCTACTATAAGCTCATGGTCGCTTTAGCGACCATGAGCTTATAGTAGAACTGTAAATGCCAGGTCTGTACGGCATACTGAGCTGGCCAGCCATACGTCCTTGGCAGCGAATGGGTTAAATGTTGCAGAGTATGATGTACAGTAATGTACTCTTTCTGAAAATGTGATTTGCAAAGTTCTAAGATTAAAACACTTGCATGTGGCCTCTATTATTTGTTGGAAATGCAACAGCATACACTGATTTGTATTACTGACATTCAGAGATGTAATAGTATCTATGAGCTGTAGATGGCAGTATAATGCAATGTTTGTCTTAAGTGTCTGCTCATCTATGGTATCCAGGAAGTTTTATCTGTTATGTTTCCTGCATGATTCTGTATACACACATGTAATGTCCTTTTATAAGCAAGTAAAACTTAATTCAGCATTCCTCAAGATCTCAGTGCTTCATCTAAACACATAACCAACATTATTTTCCCTTTACATAGCTGGAGAAGGTCTATGATCCAAAGAATGAGGAAGATGATATGGTGGAGATGGAAGAGGAGAGGCTACGTATGCGAGAGCACGTCATGAAAAACGTAAACACTTTTCCAATGTTTTAAGGCTAAATTGTGCCGTGTTGGCTTTTTAAATCTGTTAGTGTTTCAGTAGTGAAATGTCTGCACCAGATTTTTCAGCTGCATCATTTTACTCTGATCATGATAATGTAATATAGTTGTGTCCTGGTAAAAACAATTGTGTAACTTTCTCATTGAAGTATGTGTAAACCCTAACAATGAAACTCTCATTTGCTCCCTTTTGGTGTGCTAAAATATGGTTGGAAATGTTTTGTATAAGTTCGATAAGTGCAAAAAAAAAAAACCTCTCAACCATGAAGGAACACAGGAGGTCCTAAACTTTAAGGTTATACTGCCACCGAAAGGAGAATTGGACACTAGAAAACAAAAGATTGTAGGCCAGACTTGAGATAACCCCTCTTACTACCAGCATGCCTCAGTTTTCTGATGGTGTCCTAGGAGGATTGACATCTTCTTCTCAGCTCTGCTGATTTAAGACTAACTTTTTTCTAGCAACTTTTTTCCTTTTCAATCGAGATTCATCTCCACTAGCTGCAGCAGATTTCTTTACTTTCTCGCAGCTCATTCTGGATGTTTGGTTTTACTGCGACTGGATCAGACATTGCTGGGTGAGCCTGAAAGTGACCCTTGGTCACTGGACACTGCTTGAGTGCTTTCCAAAGTGGTTTTGGCTATGTTTTCTGTTAGCATTGCCTCTGCACTTGCTCTGTCTCTGAAGATTCACTGTTTTGAGTAAGCCATTTAGGCCAGGCATCAGGAGCTCCCTCATTTTTACCAGTCGCTGGGCACCTTGTTTCTATCCCCCTATTTTGGACCTCAAAGCATTAAATGCTTACATTCATGTCTTCAAATGTCGGATGGAAATCAGGAGATCTGTTATTGCCTCTGTGTATCAAACGGACTTTCTGGCCTGAGTGGATAGAAGGATGCCTACTTATGTTAACATTTCCATTGCATCAGTGCTTTCTGCGCTTTGCTGTGGGGCCTCTGTGCTACCAGTTTGTGGCCCTTCTATTCGGCCTAACCTCTGCACTGCAGATGGTCACCAAGGTACTAACTAAGTTGTTGGTCTTCCTAGCTTCTCAAGGTATCCTGATTATGGGCTACCTGGATGACCTCTTCAGGGAACTGTGAGAGCTGTGGAGGACAATGTGTCCCTGGCTGTCCAGATGTTTCAGAGGTTCGGATGAAGCCTGAATCTTCAAAAGTCCTCGGCACTCTGTTGTTGCAGAGAACTTGATTGTCAATGGAATCTCGCCTCCCAACACACCAGATCTTTGGGCAATTTGACTTTATGACCAGAATCGGACTGACCTGTTGTCAGGTCATTCACTCCAGAAAATGATGGGGGCATACATTAGTCATCAGGTAGGAACAAGAAGTCTTGCAGATATAATGCTATCAAGGCCACCAGCGCATGAAGATAAAACAAAAAAACAAAACACCCCTTCCTCCTTAATACTGCAGACCAAACCTATTGCACATCACCCCCC